TTAGGTTTTGTTCCTTGTCTGTACCCTTCAAATCTATGATGTAAAGTTATTCATTAGTGTTGGGATCTGAGCTACAGACTTAATTAAGATTTTAGAGTAAAGTAAAATATTGATATATAGAGATTAACACTGAATTAAGTACTATAAAAAATTTTAAAAAATATTTTAAAACTACACCATTTTATATAAAAGCACCATAAAAAGGAGTTTACATTCTTGTCCCGTTGATAAACATTTTTTCGGTTTAAATAGATAAGAATGCGTGTACCCCAATCCACAATGAACTAGCGTATAAAAATTTTGCTGCTTATTCAAACTCCAGTCAAGATTGCTAACTTCAAACTCCATTCCCTCTATTGGTAACGGTTTCTTAAAGTTATTGATTCGACTAAGGCCTATTTTTGCATCCTACACACTTTTCCTTTTTATGGTAACATCTTAAACTAATTTTTGTCTTGGTCAACACTTTTTATAATTTAAAATCAGTCAAAATTCCCAAATTATCAACAAAATCCTGTTGTAAATAAAAGATTTGACCACAAAATCAAAGTACAAATAGAGTTTAATTATAAATTTTTGAGTTTTTCACAAGTTTTGTATAGTGAAAAGTGTTAACCGAGATGAAAATTAATTTAGAGTGTTGATCACAGAAAGAAAAAGTGTGTAGGGTGCAAATAGGGGCATTCGCCTTTAATTAATCATCCAATTGCTAGCAGGAACAGGGAGATTTTTTAATAGGTGTTTCTTGGGAAGAGATTCTCACAGTATCAGATTGCAATCAGATGAGTTAGGCTGACTAGGGTTGCTACCATTACTAGTTTCTTTGATGCAGATTGTGTTGATAATGTTAAGTAGGTTCCTCTCAAGCTCTTCCCCGGTGCTCCATTCGTGGACTTCTGCCTTGATAAGCACTGGATCTGAGTGAATGCGATTCCATAATGGATAGTTCTTCCTTGGCATCACATAATCACAGCTTTGAAGCTTCAAAGTTGGACAGTAGTCACCTCCCCCGTCCCCAAGGTAGATAAATCTTTGCCTCTCACCATCAGGGTAGGAAGCATTGATGAGATCAAGCACTTGACCCTGTGATAGAAACCACATTTCACTTTTTTATGGTTAATATTCCAGCAAATGCAGTTATCTAACAGGTTGAGATGAACTATAAGAAACAACAGAAATAACCAATAAATTCCCTCTAACACAGAGATCTCATCGTTCTTTAAAAACTGAAAGAAACATTGAGAATTTTGTCAATGGAATGATTCTAACAGAAAAAGAAGAGAAGGACTGACACAATGGGCTGCATATATAAAGCAACCGGCTAAGAAATCTGGCTTGTGTTTCAATCAAATGCAACCGTGCAAATCACACTTGCGTTATGAACTTACAGGCTTCCTTATAAATAATGGTAACCAAATCAAACACGTTTTCACTATTAACCTAACAATTAATTACGCAGACAGAGAAAGTTCATGTACGACACAACATTTGATTGTGCACAACCTCCTAAACAGAGAAGGTTAAAAATAAAAAGGTAAATGAGAGATATCTACAAAAGTGAACTTTTTTACCTTGCACATATTTGGAGGACACCGAGGGCAAGCATGAGGAGATGTGGTGGAGTCATGGTAAGGAAAGATCCTGAGCATTCCTTCTTGGTCTACATGAGTTGGGTTTGTGTAGATCTTAGAGAAGCAACTCAACAGACCATGCTGTTCCAAGATTTTCTCAATAAAAAACTGATTTGCATCACTAATAATCCTCAAGTCACATCTGAAATTACCACCATAATCATCTTTTGTTGTCAATATAAATCACTTGTGGTCAAGCATTAGAACTTGACAGAGAATAGAACCAAGGGAAATGGCTAAGATTGCTACCCAATAGCATGAGCTGATTTTATGGCCAAAGCAATCTGTGGATCCAACACAGCATGTCTCAAGCACTCTGCTATGTTTTCAGCTGTTTTTCCTTGTAAGTGAAGCTCCTTCATCATCCTATCCTGATATTGTTTAATTAACATAACTTATCAGAAACCTGATCAAATTTTCTCAGCAACCAAACAGATACAAGTAACTTGGAAGAATTTCAACTTTTCAATTTACCAAAAACTTCATCAAATTTTCTCAGCAACAAACACAGAAGGAATTCCAGGGATGTGGGATAAAATAATCAGCATTTTAATAAAAATTTTCACTTTATCAGAAAGTTCACACAGTTTTCTTAGCAACCAATAACACAGAAGGAATTCCAGTGATGTGGGGTAACCTTGAAATAATCAGCATTTTAATAAAATTATCACTTTATCAGAAACTTTATCCAATTTTTTCAGCGACCAAACACAGAAGGAATTCCAGGGATTGGGATAAACTTGAAACATTCAGCATTCCAATAAAATTTTCACTTTATTAGAAACTCCATACAATTTTCCCAGCAACCAAACACAGAAGGAATTCCAGTGATTGGGATAAACTTGAAACATTCAGCATTCCAATAAAATTTTCACTTTATTAGAAACTCCATACAATTTTCCCAGCAACCAAACACAGAACAGATGCCAGTGATTCTTGACAGCAAAATCATTTTAAGGAATATGTTATATATTCAGGCAAACATTTGAATCATAAGAAACAAACTGTAAACCAAAAGCAAGAATTCGAAATAATGTCGAGAATCTGAAGACTTAAAGTACGAACCATGAGAGAATTCCAAGGTAAGGTGCGGCGAAGCTGGTTGAACAGGTCGGAGAGTCCCATCTGCGTGACCACCCAATTGTCACTGTCGCCGTCTATGATCGTCCGATCAAAATCAAAAACCACCACTACTCCCGCCATTTTAGGCGGTTCACCGGCGACCAGGAATGGCGGGCGCTCCGCCGCCAAATGTTACCTGCGTTCCGCCGTTCACTGAAAGCTGCCAACGCTCCCCGAATCTGACGGGTAGCGTTATTAACCCAACCTTAATGGCATATCTGATGATATGCTTTAACGCAATTTGCTTATTGGCTAGTGATACATGGATATTTTTATTTTATAATATTTTTGAGATTAGTTTGTAGTAGTTTTGATATTTAAAAAAAGTTAAAATTTTAATTCATATTTAAAAATTAAAATTTTACTTTAAAATTTAAAAACTTATTTTTTTTTGGTATGTTAAAAAAATTTATTTTATTAAATATTGATATTTGATTTAAAAATTGATTATATTAAAATATATAATTAATTTTTAAATTTAAATATTAAAATTTAATAATATAAATTTTTAAATTTTGAATTGATTTTTAATTAGATAAAACTAATTTAATATTAGAAGTCTAATTTATTTTGATAATCAAGATTGATATATATTTGTTTAATATTTTTATATATAATTAA